GCTGAGATTTTAGTGGGTAATTGAGAAAATGGTACAATTTGAGTAATGATAATTTACAAAGAAAGTACCAAATTTCAATGGTCAGAATGATCACCATAAGGTAAATGAAAATCAATGGCATACGTACGACCCTTTAAGGGAAAAAGTGTGTAACGGTGGATTCCACTGATGGAGCATGTGAGTAGTATGTTTTCTAGCAAATTCGCATCGTGTCTATCGAAAAGTGAGATTTGTTACGGAATTTATGGAATCGCTTTGCAGCATTCGTTTACATTTGAGCGATAGTCAATGAGTATCCAGGAAAGTTCAGGAAGACGCGTTCGAGTAGAAGACGGATACACGGTTTTTGTAAACAAGCTGCATAGGAGAGTTTTGCTTCACCATCTAATAGTCTGTAACTTTTCAGTAGGTGTTTTCCAATAAATAACACCACGGTGAAGGCCTTCTTCCTTTCACTGGTATAAAAGTCTCGCGCGTAGATACTGTTTCGCCATGCACCACTTGCTGATTGACCTGACAGCAGTACTTTGAGGATTGGTGAACTTTGCTCATACTTTCATACTCACTACCGGGTTATGGTACTCTGGATCATATGTAAAAAACCCAGCTCAACTGTCGATCATCTCGAAAGTTCTATTCTCGTTAATCCTCATGTGTTCGCCATTCCCCATCAAACGAACTCTCCGCATGTTTATACCGGTTTTTTCTATGTCCCTCGTACTATGATTGCATTATACTGACAAGGCCAGCCAGCCCTTTGTAGCTGGGCTACTAAGAACATCTCTACCATTATTCAGCCCTAGTTAATCATTTGTTGACGCCCCCTATAAATGACGTCAAGGATATCAGGTGCCTCCCCAAACTCAATAAACGTTACTGATCCCACCTCATTCACTCCTCTTTCCAAAGTTGGATCTTCAAGAGTAGGTATTTTGCGAGCCTTGAATGCTTATTATGCACTACACCTGATCTGTGCTTCACATCCGCATGGACTTTTAACTGATACGAGACTACTCGTGCCCCCACGTTGATTCTGTTTTACAATTGTGAATCCCCTTGGTCAGCGCTCAATTCCGGCACACACAGAATTGCACGTCCTCATTCCGATCGCCCAACCAAGACAGCTGAAGTTTGGAGCTTGGAGAGGGAAGAAAGAAGGGAGGAAAAGGATAAGAGATGTAGCATCAGGTGAGTGCCAGGAGACGTAATGTAGAACGGCGTTCAATAAAAAAAAAT